CAGTAAACCTCGCTTCTAAGAACTTCGTTGGTACCTTAAAGGGACTAGTGCCAGAGTGAAAAGCGAATTAACAGGCTGCATGGTTTCTTTACGCTTTTCTTAGGGTCCTTCTTTCCGTTTTTTCTCATCTATCTTTTTTTTGTTAAGAAGGTAAAAGTTGAAGATCGCTGAGCTCAGCAGCCTCCTATAAACATGCTCATTGATCCCGTTATCGCCTGGAATCAGAGGGTAGGTTTTGTTATGTGTTCCCTGTGAAGGAGCAGAAGCACGCTCCGTGATCACGATGCCTAGAGAACTGTGGTCTCCGACGGGCGCGTAAACAACCGAGCGCAGTATATAAGCGCTCGACCCTGCCCTCCTTGTCGATAGTGTTCTCTCTCGCTCACTTTCAAAAGTCTTCTCTCTGTTTGGCTCTCGTTGCAGCTATTTTTAGTAATACTCTTCGTCACCTAACTAGTACTTCTGCTGGTTGCCTTCAGCATAATGTTTTCGTTTCTATCTGCACTATAAGTTACTCGGCACTTTACGTTGGCTTTTGCTTTGAAGACATCTGAGGATCTCACATTGCAGACTTAACAACTTCTACAACGCTACAAAATGAGCACCAGCCTGAGAGTACTTGCACAGAGGGCCTACCCGCGATCAGTATTCCTGTCGCAGGCACGCGCCGTCCAAAGCAGCTTCACAGAAGATGCAAGCAACAAGTCCAAGGAAATGGCGAACACTGTCAAGGAAAAGATTCACGAGGCCGGAAGAGCTGTTAAGAACGTCGCTGAGAGAGTTTCCGATAAGGTGAGCAGGACTGAGGACCTCATTTCAAGTCTAGGTTTTGAATTATGATTCTTCAAGGCTGGCGAGCTGAAGGACAGAGCCAGCCAGCAGATGCACGAATCAACAGAAGCCCTTAGGGAAACTGCAGATAAGGACAAAATTAAGCAGAAGATCAATGAAGGAGCGGATGCCCTAAAGGGCAAGACCGATGACGGTAGGGTCAAGGAGAAAATCAACCAAGGAGCTGATGCCCTCAAGGACAAGACTAGACGATATTGATTTCGAGGCGCTAACCATGTCAAATGTTCATATGTAAATATATTGTCTCACCGGTAGCTATCGGTAGATTTAGTGTAATTATTTAAAGCGTTCTCAGCGTTTCTTTGAGAATGAATTGTGGATAAAGATTGGATTCAATTTCTGTCAACTTGTAACCTTAATTCCGTCGTCGGAGGTAGGGGGGGGGTGATGGATTACAAAACTAGGCTTTCGAAATGTTCCCTTTCCTAGTAACCTTTTTTGGACACAATCCCTTTCAAAAACCTTTATAGAGATTTTCAGCTATGGGATTAATCTTTGCACAAGATGGGAGTTAAAGCAGGACCTGGGGCATTCCTGGCCTCTATTTTCATTGGGGTACTTATTTACCATACCTTATTGGCATTCACACATATACGATCAGAAGGTAAGGCTACATCTATAGTTTTTCCCAAAACTCGAAACTTTATAAGAGTGAAACTTAGCGGTAACTATAACTATTCGCAGGTCTGGTTTCAAAAATGGGTGAAACTTATAGGTTCCAGTCCTTGTCAGTCCAACTAGATGACACTAGGACGAAGGGTGAAACTTGGGTTCTGAGGGGGGGGGGCACTCAATGGCACGGCGCTGTTTTCGTCCGGAACCGGGTGCAGCAAGTCCCAATGAGGGTCGGGGACCCATCCCTCTCCGCGAGGTTGGGGATCATTTTTTGATGGGTCCTATGACGCGACTATGCGAAACTGTCACTGCCGTCGACCCTTAGTCTCGACTAGGGGGATTCCCCTCAGATGCCGACGCGGGGAATCGACGGCAGTGACCGTTTCGCATGGTCGCGTCATAGGACCCATCGAAAAATGATGGGTCCTGTGACGAAACCGGGGATATATCCCCAAGGTTGGGGACATATCCCCGGTTTCGTCACAGGAAATATCATTTTTCGATGGGTCCCAACCTTGGGGACACATCCCCTCACCCGCGTTGGGGATATGTCCCCAACTTTGGGGACACATCCCCAACCTCGGGGAGAGGGTATGGGTCCCCATCCCCTCGTTGGGGCTTGCTGCTCCCGGCCCCTGCTCTACCAAGGCTTAGTCACCGATGGCGCGTATTTTGAAACTGCCACATAATGGCGAAAGAGTAACTGTCCCTGTGGACTAAGCCTTGGAGGAGCAGACGAACAGAGCGTCGCGTGCCCCCCCCCCCGAACCTGGGTTTCACCGGACGAAGTTAAGGGGAGGGGAGAAACGCTAGGGAGAACACAATTTTTTTCGAATATTCCCCCAGAGTCGTGTTCTCGTGAGACCATCTCGTGCTCTTCCTAGACCTTCCCCTCCCTGAGGCTTTGTTCCAAACAGGGTTAACCGTGCGAAAATTTTATGACCCTCTCCCTCTCAGAGGGTATCAGTACTACCCCACCCCCAACTGTGCAGGCTATTGTGCCTTTATATATATTTTATGCCCATCATCAATGTACGGGCCGCCTTCGACATGGAAAGTTGTTCAGATCTGAGTAAGGAAAGCATTTGCCGTTGATCAATCCCTTTTTGGGATGCGGCACGCATTCTACTTCCATTTGTACATTCGTAGTGGCGTTTGAATGCGATGTGGCCTATACAATGACTTGCGGGGCCAGCCGATGTACAAGTCAGTGTTTTTATCCAGACAAGTCTGGTACCAATTAACCGACCCCGGAGGGATGGAAGGCTTGGTTGGCCCGGGCGACTCACGACCCAGGATTTGATCCCCGGACCGCTCGCGTGGTAAGCGTGCCACTTGCCACTACACCACTTCCGCCCTCTTTTGCTCATTGAACGAAGTAATTCCTTTGCGTGAACTTAGGCATGGTGATAGTTGCAAATATTTCTACTTTCAGAAACCTACCAAGCTTTGTTCAAACTCCCAAATCTCCTTTTTTATGAACTGAATAACTAAACCTTGCAGATCCACTTAACGATCGCTCCTTCATTTAAAAGGTTAAATCTTTTTTTTTCAAAAACAGTCTCATAAGAAAGGTGCAAGAATTTGGTAACTACAAATTGTTTACTTTTAAAAATTTTTTAAATGTTGCAAATGTTCAATATTTCAAAAAATCGTCCCGTTGTTCCGTTTTTTGTGCACACGCGAGTTTTCGACATTCAAACATTCATAACTTTCTTCATAATCAACTTTTGCAGATGTCTAAGGCTAATTAGAAACTAGAAGATTAGAGCTTTCGAACAAGCACCTGAAAATTTTCCAGCGATCACTTTCTCAAAAATAGTCCCGTTGTTCCGTTTTGGGGGTTTGTGGTCCGATTTTTGAGAAGGCGCGAGTTTTCGTCATTCAAACGTTCATAACTTCCTTCATTATTAACTTTTTGCAGATTCTAAGCTAATTAGAAACTAGATGACTGACAGTTTCAATAAGATTTGTATTCTTCTGATTTACCGCTCTTTCAAAAAATCGTTCTCGTTGTTCCGTTTTTCTATTGCTTCTATAGGCCGGTCTCCTGGAACGCAATTTCAACCTTCAAGTGGCCATAAGTTTCTTCAAAGTCGCTACATTGAGAAGCGGTAAAAACCATTGAGTTGCGCAAGATCAGTACTTCACAGCATCTTGATGCTGGATCCACTTGGAAAGGAAAGCTGTCTCCTGCTAGAAGGCCGAATTCGCTGTACGTTCCTCCACCTGTACTTGTCTGAAAGCATGGAAGTTTCTCTATGAGAATTTATTTGTTTATGAGCACTGTTTCATGATGTAAGTAGGAAGTCCTGCTCTGGGATCCGCCATTCAATCTTCCGTGGTGCGTAGTCGTAGTGGTAGTAAAAAAAGATTGTCCTCCTTTGCCACTTTGCCTTGCCTTGGTACCTTCTAATTTTGTGATTGGTACTTGAAATTACGACCCCCTCTCCTTCCGTTTGCCAAATAGGACCCCCTCGTTGATCTTCGTTATCTTTGTGCAACGGGTGGTTAACGCTGGGCCAAAGCGGTGGAATTGGCTTACTTCCTTGAATGTCCCCAACGACATGTGCGCCTCTTCATCGTTATTTTCTTAATTATCTCACGCGAGCCCGTGGACTACCACTTTCTGAAAGAAGTTCTAAATTCCTCTGTTCAGCAACTATCGCGTTTCGCAGTGTGTAAGCTTGAGGTTGAGCTTTCCGAGACAGGGCTTCAGCCAGGATTTGATTCCCGAACAATGCGACGGTAGTAGCAGGCATTATTGTCACTCTCCATCACCCCGTAATTGAAAATTCCTTTTCAAGATTGAATTTTTCAAAAATGAAAATCTAGACCTAGTTCACACCGATGCGTTTAATCGTGATACGAAGCAGATAATCTATCTAGACGCAATTGTTGTTGAAACTATGCTTTACAACTTTCTGAAGTGGTACGTAAGAGGGGTTCGCCGTCTTTCGCGTTTTTTGCTGTATTAACATCGTCTTCTTCCGGAATCAGAGCGGTATCTCCATCGAAATCTCTCTTTTTTCTGAATGCGTACCAGCTGACCTATCTAAGCATCGAGCATGGTCTCTAACGTTTCTTTTTGCTCATTTTTTGCAAAAATAGGCAATTCAGTCATGCGGTTCCTTCGATAATGAAGAATTTTTTGAGTTCTTATTCCTGGCTTTTTGCAGCTCTTTCACTTTTTTCAGTTTCTCTAGTGAGCAGCAGTTCGCAGTAAAGGGACCAGTGTCACCAGCAAAGCGCCCCTATCTATACGATTTCAAAGCATTTGTTCGAACTTTTTTAATTTAATATTGTCACAATTACCTTCCACTTGGTGCCTCCCTGACGAAATTGCCGGGAGTGAAAAACACAAAATCGGAATCAACATCGCCGTTTCTTATTTCCCCTGCTCACAGTCATCAATGTAAGCGTGCATAGGTCTCACAGCGGAAGTCATGTTTTGCACAGTGTTATTGTGCAATTTTGCAAAGTCGTTGCAGAGATCTCAAGATGTTTTTTACAGTTTGCCTAGACCTGTTCTTCAGGTTGCACAGACCTGTTTTTCAAATGAGGATTTCACGATAAGGTCGGGGTCTAACAAGGGAGGTCTTTTAGGGCAAGGTGCGCTTTTTCAAAACGGTTTTGTGCATATTGTAGGGACGCATGTAGGGAACGCAAAACCATGTTTCATTTTCGCTGAACGGTTATAGCAGTACCAAAAAAGAAGCATAAGGTACTGTTAAGGGTTCGATCCCCCGCGACTAAATTTTGCATTTGGGTTGGCGCCTACGGTTTGGTGCCAAATCGCGCTAAATATCAAAATCAGATGTCAAATTCATCGTCAGGACCATTTTGAAGCCAACAAGTGGCCGCCAACCTTGATTGCAAAATTTAGCGCGGGATTGAACCATCAAGAGTATTATTCACCACTTTTTTGGTACTACTAAAACCGTTCAGCGAAAACGAAACTACAACATGTACTAAACCGTTTCCAAAAAGCGCACCTTGCCCTGAAAGACCTACCTTGTAAGAAGCGGAATTATGCCCATTTGAAAGGCAGAAGGCCCAATAAGGGTGAGGGACGATACGCGTTTCGAGTATATTCCAGCGGCTTAGTAGGGTCGTGCCCGCGCCACTCTCGCCTCTGCACGCCCACTCCCTCGACGTCTGACTCTAGCCATTTAACAAAGACAGCGTTAGCGTCAAAGAGGGCAGCACCGTCGAGAGACGCAATGCGGAAAGCTCCCGGGTTCCAGGTCGTTTTGCTTACATTTTTTCTTCATTCCGGCACAACTGATCACCTCTTCCTTGAGTTCTGATGGGCTGCCATTTCATCATGCACTCCGCCTATAATCGTTCACCACCTCGAAGTCTGACTCTAACCATCTTCGTTACAAAAACTGCGTCTTATGGATTTTCTATCACTCTCTCTTATAAACCACAAACCTGATGTGTCGCTTCGTCGATATGTGCGTCTTTTGGTGTGTATTTATGTTTGCTTTGTGTACCCCTGTCCGCGGATTGCTCCTCCGCTTCAGAAACTGCGATAGGGAGCTGGAATAAACCAGTCGCTAACAAAACTGGAAAGCCCATAGGACCCACGGCATTAGCGTCTGGTGATGTAATGATTGTGATAACATCCTCTGAAAACCCATAATCACGTTCTGAGCACACTCTCGGCTATTTTGCGAGGCGATGGAACTAAGCGGTGGGACGGAACTAATGGAGAGGCCAACTGCTTGGACTAGAAACCACGCCGGCGTTGGGTATCGATCTTCCTGGGCCATGGGTCATGATAAAATTGTTCCCCGCTGTGTGACCCATTTTCATACGGGCAACCACAGCACAAAATGTTGACCTTGATAGAAGAAGTGAGCACCATTGAAAGAATTGTAGCGGCGAGGATAGAGAGTGGGCTGCCGTTATACAATCTACGGTGCTATACAAGTAGGGTGGGCACGCCGCATTTTTGAACAGAAATGTATGTAAGTGGGACTGCTGCCCGCTACTATACTGTCACGAGAATCGGGGAATTCGTGAGCCAGGGGAGTGTAGCCAATATGGGGGGGGGCTGACAAGGAAGGTCTTTCAGGACATGGAGCGCTTTTCGAAATGGTTTCTGCATGTTGTAGAGGCTCATGCGAGGAACACAGAACCATGGTCCATTTTTCCTGAACGCCTTCAGGAATGTCAAAACAGTGGTGAAGAAATGGTCCAAAGTTCAATCCCCGTGGTGACAAATTTTTGCAATCCATGTTGGAGCCTCCAAATTGTCGCCAAATTACGAGGATGACATGTTAATCGACGCTGGTGCCATTTGGACACAATTTGGAGGCGCCAACATAAATTGCAAAAATTAGACATCACGGAGGATCGAACTTTGGACCATTTCTTCACCACTGTTTTGACATTCCTAGAAGCGTTCAGGAAAAATGGACCATGGTTTTGTGTTCCTCGCATGAGCCTCTACAAATGCAGGAAACCATTTTGGAAAAGCGCTCCATGTCCTGAAAGACCTCCTTGTGAGAGCAGTCACTTCACATGCGTGAAAGACTGGGCGTGCCCACCCTACTTGTATGGAGCCCAATCTACTTTGTACTGTATGAACCTTGTAAAATGGTCTCCGCTGTCAAGCGATTTTGTCACTAATTTGAGAGCCTTTGGCGTTCTCTATTTCACCTAAGAAACTACGTATAGATTCCTACGGTTTATTAGTAGTCATCTTCTCTTCTTCTTATTCTTTAGCGTTTGTCCCACTCTGTGGCGGGATCCGCTTTCTACGGTTCGTTCGAGTGTTGTCGGTAATACGTTGAAATTTCAAGGTTTTGTTTCAAGATCTCGTCATCTCGCTTCACTTTTTATTTGCAGCAAAGCAAGAAAAAGCATCAAAATTATGAAAAAAGCATCAAAATTTCTACAGGCACGTCTATCCGAGTCGTTAGACCGGAAGACGTACGTTCACAGCAGTGCATTGTACACATCACATGTTGCAACACAATAAAATATTATACATTCAAAGCAAACATCCCCCGAGACGGGTTTAGTGCCTCTTCATGGCCTCCTTGGCATCGTGCATCTTCTGACCGGCCTGGTCTTTCAACTCTTCAGCCTATAACAACGACGTTTGGATTGGCTGTATAAAAGAACGCTGAGAACCTCGAACCTTATCTCCAGCCTTTTCGGCAGCGTTCTTCATGGCTCTGCCGGCATCGTTCATCTTTTCCTTGGCGGCATGTCCGACTTCTTGGGCCTTGTTGTGAGCATTCTGAATGGTATGGCTGTGAAGGCATGGCAAAAAGGACTCTTATGGGGTAAGCCCGATTGGGTAAAACTATAAGGACTTACGTCGGCGTTCATTTTGTAGAGTTTCAGGGATGTAGGAATGTAGTTTTTCTGAAATATTATAGTTAGTGCAGTAGGGAGATAATCATAGAACATAGACGATATTCATAAGAGGAGAGAAAGGCCGAGACAAATATGAATGGGAAGCTCTCGCGAGAGCTGCCGCCATGATTCTGAGAGCTCACTGGCAGCTCCATTCAAAAGCCCGACTCCAACCGTCATGGGCGTGGTGAGCAAGGCTATTTATACTGCGCACGGTTGTTTACGCTCACCCGCGCGGCGTTGTTGTGGCCGTTCCATCCCTTATTGATTACAGTTTTGTCGTTGCCATGACAAGATCTATTTAGTCGAATTGATTTCTGCTACAGGAAATGGGCACAAAATGTCTGAAGTAGAAGCAGATGGTTTTGAGTCGTCGGATTTTGACTGGTGACAGGCTTAGGCGCTGAACCCGCTTCATTAGGAGCGCGAAATCAAGAAGCTCAGAAAAATAAAACAACGTCAAAAACTCCCACTGTCACGAAACAAGATGTTAGCGTGACAATTCGATGAGGATGTTCAGTTTTCCCTTCTATAGGTGAGGTCACAAGGGTGCGCGAATGACTGGGGCTGCCACGGCTTAGGCTCGTCTATCCAAAAGCTTTCTCGGCGCTAGGGTGTAAACTTAGACATACAAATAGTTAGGCTTCCTATGAGCAATCAGAGCTGTCCTAGTCTGAAGTCACCTTACGTAAATAGGAGAACCGACATAATAACATCCCAAACTCTTTCCGGTAGTTAAAGATCTAGCCGGAAGAAAGCTCACTCCTTGAGTCAATCTACTAAGGACATGCTAGAGATCAATATTAGGCGCACTTAGGTGGATTTCTCATGAATATATTGGTATCAGAATAATATCCGTGGTTGTGGTACTGGAAATGCTATGTGCGGGGCACTTTCAGAAAAACTCTGAAGTAATGAGAAGGAATGCTAGCGGACAAGAGGAGCAAGACTTAAAGAAAGCTGGAAACCTCATTAGAGCGGTGATGGTTCACTACGTCGACAATTTCCTGCTATACCTGGATAATGGCCTTGAAAATAGATGATCTCACCAGCGCAGATTAGGCTGAGTGGCTAAGGATTTGTCAATGTATTACACTGGTGTGCAAAACTTAAGGACGAGACAGATGAAGTATCATAACCTTTTGATAGCTTTGTGGACCGTTTAACGGTTCCTGTTAACTGCTTTCTTTAGTGCCCTGTGGCAGCTCTTTGTATGTGGGTTAGGTTCCATAGAGTCATGTTACGCGCCAGTAACACGTCGTTGGAAAAGCTACGTTCGTCCCTAACAAGTAAGTTTTGCGCACCAGTGTAGATGTCGAAATCCTTGAGTAATATTACAAGAAAAGGTGCGCTTGGGTACTTCACTGATCTCTTGAATTTATTCCATTGGAATCTCAGGTGCCGATCCTGATGATTCTATTCCTTGTAATGCTGTACCAGCGACAATCGTTCGCGACCAGATGTGAGTAGCAGAGAGATCGCATGGAGCCAGCGCTGGACAGAGGAGAGATCAAGTTTCCTATAGGATAGAACCGAAGCAGTGAGCCGCGAAAAGTGTTGTCGTTCCATTTGGTCCCAGCTGTGACGGTCACACTATCCAGGTCGTCGCGAAGAGAATAATGACAAGCTAACGAGTTTGATTCAGCGAAAATGAGCTTGTCTGCCTCAACCGATCAGAATCGCGTTGACCAGATACCAGAAGCCAAGGAAGGCATTTCATGTGCGTTCGGACAATTCGGAATAGAAGTTTTGTGTGTAGCGCATCTCTCTGCCGAAGGTTGCAGTTCATTTCATGCCAACAAAACACCTGTTTCAGATCCGTTATGAAATTTTTGAAAAAAAAAACCTCTGTGAAGGGCTCGCTACTTCCAAGGTGAAGAGCTTTCCACGTGTAATTTTTTACGAATTAGAACGATTTTTTTGCCCCTCCAAGCATTAAAACGCAGGTTAAATAGAATTTCAAAGCATTAAATTCATAATACTATCGGTCTGGCTTCGCAAAAAACCCTTTCATGAAAATGTGAAAAACCATATGTGATAGCCCTTTGACTGCACATTCAACAAACGTTTGGAACCATTAAACTTCAAAATTTCAATCTTTCTCTTCGTTTTCCACCACTTCGCTTTTGAAGGAAAGTATTACTGTCGAGTGTAAAAAAAAACTCGCAGGCTAGCTAAATTTCCCTTATAGAAGACGCATTTTACAATGGAAAAACGGTGAATATGGGATTCATATGTAGTAGTAGGTAATAATTGAATCGAAAAGTAGTAAATAAAACTTATAAAAAGTTCAAGGACTCGAAGTCAAGGTTAAGTGCAACCACTGGAAACGCATTTGATGTGACCCCATTTTGAAAGAGTTGCTCTTTTCCTAAGGTTTCGGGAGGAAAACAGATTAGAGACACTGAGCGCCAAGGAGAGAATGGCAGGCGCAGACGAGAGAGCACTAGGGGCTGTAAGGTGGCAGACGCCGTGACGGTGGTTGCTTAGAGAACCCTTAGTTGCAAGGTCTAGGCTTTTTGCGTCCCTGCGCGTTTTTCATCGCGAAATTGGTCTAACCTCCGCTGTTGTGAACCCAGGAGCTTTTTAGGGATTCGTCCACGGTGCAATCGCGAACTGTGATTTTCACCTCGAAATAAGGTAATCTTACATACAGCGCAATTCCGGCACCATTTGGAAAATGGGCCAAAGAAAAGACAATTTTGACTTCCTTTGATAGTCAGACGTTCATAGTCTATTCGAAAAACTGGAAGAGTTATTTTCGATTCGCATTCTCTTTTTAGAAATTGTATTTCTTCTTACATATAATTAGCGCTGCATACAGACTCACTTGATTGA